ATTCTTTGTGTTTTACCAGGTAGCTGTGCTGGAGAAGAAATATCCAGCAATTGGTTGAACGCCATGGCCCCACACCCGGTGGTCCAGGCCATCATTGACCTCTCGGCAGGAGCCGTAGGTAACTACAGCGCTCGCATCACCAGCAAACTACCAAAGAATACGCCTTGTGCACATTTTTTCCCCTCAATCAAACAACCCTGCTGCTTTTCCACTGCATTACTGAACCTCTCTAGCTACGGCTGACCTTTCAGCAGATTTTGATGACACCCTTGTTTTTCCGGCTCATTTCTCTCATTGACTGGTTTATACTGCTCAGTGGAGTGAAATCTTTCATTACCTCTAGTTTTATTTTTGCCTCTTTTGATTGTTCTGTAGTATGTTAAAAGGAGTTGTCTTTTTTTTTTGTTTTTTTCATAATTTCTTTAGTTGACAGTTTAGTTTTTTTTGTCACTGTCTCTCGTCTAAGGGGGAGCAGCATGCGTCTTTAGCGGGCAGCCTCTGGACACGGCTAAGGTCAAGATGCAGACTTTCCCCACGCTGTACAAGGGTTTCATCGACTGCATCACGTCCACCTACAACCAGGTGGGTCTGCGCGGCCTCTACCAGGGCACCACGCCGGCACTCGTGGCCAACATCGCAGAGAACTCTGTGCTCTTCATGAGCTACGGCTTCTGCCAGCAGGTCATCCGCTTCACGTCTGGACTGCACAGTGAAGCCGTGCTGAGGTAGGAGGATGTGTCAACCAGGCTGTCCTTTAGCGCACTCTGAGAAAAACATGGCTGTCCTCTAACTGTTCTCTGTTTCTCCGTCTCCCTGCGTTAGTGACGTGCAGAAAGCCTGCGCGGGGTCAGTAGCGTCCATCTTCTCCTCGCTCGTACTCTGCCCCACTGAGCTCGTCAAGTGTCGCCTGCAAGCCATGTATGAAATGGAGGCGTCAGGCAAGATTGCCAAGAGCCAGAAGTAAGTGGTTTTTCCAAACATAACTACGCTTTGTGTATAATTTACTGACATTGCACAATATGGGCTTATACTGTGAAGTCATGATGAAAAAATAAATGGCTTCATCATGGAGTATGCGTGTGTGCAGGAATGCGTGCGTGAGATCAAGTTAATTGTTCCCCTGCTCCGTCTGCAGCACAGTGTGGTCGGTGGTGAAATCCATTATGAGGACTGAGGGAGCGACGGGCTTTTTCCAGGGTCTGACCCCGACTATAGCCAGAGAGGTCCCGGGTTACTTCTGCTTCTTCGGTGCCTACGAGCTCTGCCGCACAACCTTCGCCGACTACATGAAATGTGACAAAGAGGACATAGGTAACTGCAGAAAGTCCGTCCCTCGTAATCAACGGGACGAGTTTGGCGTTTCAAATATGCAACAATAAAATCTGTCGTACTGAAATCTGTGTTAACAGCGATAAGCGACATAAACATTCAGTTTCGACTCCTCATGCAAACAGCATCTGTGTGTTAATGTTTAACTGTGTTCCTGTGAGTGTCAAAGGTGTGGCTCCCATAGTGTTCAGCGGAGGATTGGGAGGGGCGTGCCTGTGGCTGGTGGTCTATCCCATGGACTGCGTCAAGTCTCGGATCCAGGTCATGTCTATGACGGGCAAGCAGGCGGGGTTTTTCAAAACCTTCACGACGATCGCACGGACCGAAGGTAGGTGGAAGTTGGGCCGGATGATGTGCTGGGGGAAAATGAACCTTTATTGTTAAGAATGGGTTCAAATTTGAGGTGCTATCACCATGAGGGGGCATCGGGTCAGGATGCAGGAATCCAACAAGACTTGATTTGTATGTAACAGGTTTATTTCTTCTCAAGTTAGGTGAATCATGAGGGTAACAGAAGACACACATGGGATTGAACATCCATGCTGAAAGACAAAATAATATTAGTACAATAAACAAGTCAAATCACATGACTTTCTGAAAGGAAATAAAGATAAATAGAGTGCTGATATATTACAATAGACTAGAGAGTAACTAAAATAGGAGTAAAAGTCACCTTGCCATTGCTGAACCGTCGCCCCATGTGAGGATGAAAACATGAGTGCAGTCTTAAATAAGGAGTAGGCAGGTGAATCTAATTCATTAATGACAGAGTGCAAACGACAACCAATCAAGGGGGGAGAGGAGCGTGAGAAACCAGGGAGTGTACTAAAGGAGGTGCAGTAGGAAAAGAGAGGAAGTGAAAGGAAACAACTAGTGATCGTTACTACATTCATGCTGTTTGGATGATCTTGTCAGGATGTGATCTCTGTTGTTGGTTTCCGTTTAGGTGTGAGGGCTCTCTACTCCGGTCTGACCCCCACCATGATCCGCACCTTCCCCGCCAACGGGGCTCTTTTCCTGGGTTATGAAGTCAGCAGGAAGCTCATGATGAAGCAGTTTGACAGCTAAAGTATGCTGACCACTAACTGTGAACTGGAAGAGACGCATTACAGCCACATAAGATCGTCAGAACTCCAGTTGAAGCTTTTTATGAACATGCTGTGTTTCTCTTTGCTGCTTTTGATAAAGTGACTCTGAAAGTGCCGCACTCCTTCTCATTTCAAGCTACAAAGAAAACTGTTTCAACAGAGTAAAAGGTGAATGGACTTGAGCAGCGCTTTTACACAGCAGGTCACACCTACTCATTCACACACTGATGGCAGACGGTCGCTAAGTAGTGAGACCATCAGATAAATACATAACCTCATTCGTACACATTCAAACACCGCTGACGAAGCACCAGGAGGAATTAAGTGTCTCGCCCAGGGACACATCAGATATGTTGCTGCAAGAGCTGGGGATCGAACCCTCGCCTCTCCGGTTGAGAGATGACGAATCTACCAACTGAGCCACAGCTGAGTATTAACATCATTTCAATCCTTATCATGATTTACTTTTATAGATTTGCTGTTTCTTTTAACACTCCAGAAAGACAAGATAGCATAGTGTTGACAAAATCTTAGCTAACCTTTTTTTTTTTTAAGGATTTCTCAAGACTTGAGTGAATTATTTCATGTCTACCTCAACAAAATCATTCTCAGTCATTTCAAATGATTCTTTACTTATTCTGTGTCAGTATGCAAGAACATTTGCACAAACTGAAAACAAACCCTGTTAGGTTTTAAAAGCTAAACTAACTCAATGCATGAAGATTTTGTTTTGAAATGTGAAGCGGCATATACTCATTTTTTTCTAAGCTGCCAGAAAGGTTGAGACGATGATTTCTGTTTGAAATATGGGATAGTTCTCAGACGAGTATTCGCACCTCCGTTATTGATCACACCGGGGCTTTACTTCTCAGCTTTGACTGAAGCCTCTCGTTGCCTCATCCTCATGACAAACCTCATTCACAACCAGCAAACAAAGCTGTCAACCTTTATTTTATCATCACACTTTTCTTGTGTGTTGAAGTTACATAACCACTCCTGTGAGACCCAGTGTTTACCTTTGAATCACTACATTTAGCCTTTTTTTTTTTTTGTTAATGTTTGACTTGTATTGTTCTTGTACAAATCCATGAAAATAATCAGCTGCCTTCAGTGAATGTGCCATTTGCAGTTTTTCCCCCCGTGAAAAGAGGTTGGGATTTCAGACATCTAACTTTAAAGTTGTTTTATTAATGTCAGTATTTTAGACCACTAACAATTTATGATAAAACTCTAATGTTTGTAAAATATGATGTAGTGATAAAACCTACATTAAAGGTGTCGTGGAAGAATAAATGTGTCCTGTGTTTTATTTCAGCTTCTTCTTATTCTTACTGTATCGTCAAATAAACCAGGTGATTGATATCTAGCACTGCATACATTATAACACGACACAGTTTAAATTGTGTTAAAATCCCTTTTATTTAAAAAAGAAATTACCCATTTTATTAACATGGATAATTTCTAATGCTGTGCCATTTTAAAAAACATACTTCAACATGATCCAGATATTCCAGATATGTGTCTTTTATAAAGAAGTGCAAAGCATCATATACACATACAAAGTATAAAAATCTGAAGAAACACTTTGAGCAATCATTTCAATGTGAATATTGTATGCAATGTGGACAGTACTGTGCTCTGTCTTCCAGCAGGGGGCACTAGACAACCATCAGGACCTCACAGTGGCTGTAAGAGAAAAACAAATGGAAAGAAATATGAAGTTCAGACACACCCACACTTCTTTTTTTCACAGGAGGGTTTTATTCCATTTCAGCTTACCCCCTTGTTGCATGTTCCACACAGGCATCCAAAGAGCCCGTTGATCATCTGAATTGCACAGAGGATCAGCTGCAGGCAGCTGGTGGCCAGCAAGGTAGCGAACAGTCCAATGTGGAACTGCACGATGTTCTCAGGTGATGTGCACATGCTCCACCAGGTTTTGTCAGTCAGGTAATTTTGGTCCCTACATGCACCAGAAGAAAGATTATGGATTGGATTTGATGTCTTTGTTGTCCCAGAGCGGCAACTTGTTTTGCAACAAAAGCCCACACAAGCTCTATGCAGCATATTAAATGCACAAAGATATACATAACTCACATAGATGTCATCATGATAGATGTGCAATGAGACATGTAGTTCAACACTCAATAAAAATATATACAACAAAAACAATGCCTACAGCTCATATAAACCACCAGCTGCTGATGGAACATATGACCTAAGATATGTGTTTGATTCTCCTCCCTGGTAGCAGAAGTCTACACTCTGCAGAGGCTGGCGAGGGTTGAGTGGCTCTTACTTGATAAACACGGCCAAGATCATTCAAGTCATTAAATCTTCTGACAAAGTTTATCCCCCAATTTCCCAGTAGAGGGTCTCAAACTGGAGACATGTAACTGTGATTTACCCGGTATAGTTACTCACCCGTTTTTAAAAGGTGTCGTCCACTGTATCAAAACATGGCACAGAGGTCCATTCTGCAGACCGAGCACTGCCACAAGGAAGCTGTACAGAGCACCGGCCACTCCCACTGCAGCCAATGCGATGGACAAGAACATCTACAGGAGTGAAATGATAAGCAAACATTTTTTTCCAGGGAAAGTTGATTCATATATTTTTTTTGGTGCGTTATATTGTACCATGAATTGAAAGGAAACAGACTCTGAGACATGCAGACATGTGTTTCCTTCCACACATTCCTCACAGTTATTCTGTCCATGTTTTGGTTTTGCCAACAGAAACAAGACAAACAGCTAAACCCAACATGCTGAAACGTGTTTCACAGCAGCCTGCTGAAAGTGACATTTTTTGTTTCCATTCTATTTGTCTTGATATTGTTTTTGGAGTTTGATCTTTAACCACTTTTAAATACTTTGTTTTGGTCATTGGGGTGGCTTTACCACAGATTGTGTTATCTTATCTACACACACAAGATGAACAACAACGGTTGAGTGATGATTTAACATGCAGCATACTTAGTTAGTCATAAACTAAAGTGTGACAGAGCGCCGTTAAACCCTTAAATTAAGCACAAACAAAGAAATTTTTCTGTATTACTGTACTTTAACTGTTACTATGTGTTTGTATCATCATATTACCATTATGCATTTCCAGTGATTGACGTTGTGTTTGTCTTGTGAATGATTTTATTTGAAGCCCAATGAAATGAACATCTCATACAGTACGTAGCTCTGACTGACTCACCCCACAGCGATTTCCACAGCAGCCCTTTTTTCCAGTTAAGTGGATGTAGAGTGCTGGCATCAACACCTGAAGGAGGACAGAGGGGTTAACAGTTTACAGAGGATTCACTTCAATCAACATGTGTTTCCTTAATCTGGATAACTGAGAACTTGTAGAAGATGTTGAAAGACTTTGATAAACATTGCAGAAATCAGTTAGTGGATGATTTGTTTTCCCGTAAGCTGCATTAGACTTGTTAGAAATTAAATCTTTAGTACGAATTTAATTACTCCCAAAAGATAATAATAGGGTAGACAACAATAAACGCGGTATGTGCAGCTTCTTTTTTTTACATTTCTCACTAACTTACAGGCTTCTAATATTTCTTTCAGGGTTTTACAATAGCTTTGAACATATAGAGTCACAGTCTTCAGTCACAGGCAGGAGATAATCTAACTTACCATTAGGCCCCCTCCGATGAGGCCCCCCATGTACTTCACCTCCTCTGTAATGTTTCCATCTTTGGCATACTTGATTTCCCCTCCCGGAAAGAACAGCACTATGTTACAGATGATGGATATGGCTGCTAACGGGTACAGAGCCACAGCGATGAAACGGGAACACGCTCCTGTACACATGTTGGCAGAGAGAAAACAAAAACAACTAACTGCAGTGAAAGTTGCTCCGAAAGTCTGAGGGAAGAAACCTTTCCTTTTTTGAGAGAGAAGTTGTGCGCTGCCCGACCCAAAGAGGGATTACTTTTCAGTGAAATGGGCGTGATGTTAGGGGGCATGGGAGGCGTATTGGCAGGCTGATAACATGGACAAACAGAGACGGGGATAGGCTGAAGGAGTATCTGTGACTCACTCTATTGAAGCTTTGGCACACAAGGCAGGGTCTGTTGAGTTACAGTAGAGGCACATATTTTGGTTAAAAGATGTGAATGCATTCTGGTCCTCTGAGTCAGACGTGATATTGACAGCCACATCAAAGCTGTTACCAATTTAACAACTCAGTTTCTTGTATTTGTCAAATAATCACAGTCAGAGCTCCTTCAGTGTTTGTTGAGGACCGCTGAGAAAGCAGAGGTTTTCTGTTGAATCTCCTCCGTTTGCATTCAGTCCTCTTGTGATGTATTGTTGACATTGGGAGTGCAGGATCACTGCATGTTGGACTTTAAACCTGTGGCAGCATGTCTGCCTGTGAGGAACAATGTGTCATTGACACGGACTTCAAAACACTGATACATGTTCACATTGTGGAGGACGAATACTCACAGGGAAGGAAGCATTCTTTTGGTTTCTCAAGGGAGCCGTTGACTGAAGCCCGATTCAGTAAATGAGTGGAAAGAATTGGCAAATTGGAGGGGGAAAAAAAAAGAGGGGAAAAAAAAAGAGAAGGAAAAGGACAAGCCTCCCAAAACATATGGTGTGTCTTAGCAACGCCTGGGCGAGGTTGTTTTCCTCATGACACTGTCATTAAAACACAGCGGTTGTAAAAGCGTACTGCTGAATATGATGTGGAAGGTGTGGCTCCCACTGTGGGGAGAAGAACGGTATTGATCCATTATTTAATGCAACATGACCTCTGACTCTTGAACAAATAAAACCCAGAATAACTTCAAATGGGTGCATTTTATTCCCTCTGTGTCCCCAGGTTCTGATCCATTCATTCATTCATTGTAGAAGTAGAAGAAGTGCTAGTCGTATATTTTGGTCAGCATTGACAATTTAAAAAAATTGCAATTACAAATAAATACATGTTGGGATTAAACCAACTGAAAAGCTTTAGGCTGAAGCTTTTGTGAACCCTTTTCAGATGACATATTCAGTGAGGCAACCCTTTGAATGTCTGGTATAAAAAGGACGTGACATGCTAAACAAGTGAAAATCAAAAGAAGACACAACCAATTATTTCACAACTTATTGTCATACTTTATTTTTGTGTTTGTGTGTATCACCTTATTTTTTAGTCATTTGTTAAAAAGCAGTTTGGAAAAAACACATTTTCAATTCTTCATTAAAACTATTCAACAGGTTTACGCCTTCGACAGAAACACAGATACACTCATCTGTCCATCGTAAACATGCTGTGAAAGGATCGTAATGAGTTCATTGGAACAAAGACACGTGATGATTCAGTTTGAACATAAATAGAAGTGCAGGAGACGGAATAGTTTGTGATCTCTATCTGTAAGTTTATATGTATAAAAATCTGAGATAACACTGGAACATTTCTCTGGCTATGGTCCTGCTTTCCTGTGTGTGTGTGTGTGTGTGTGTGTGTGTGTGTGTGTGTGTGTGTGTGTGTCTGGAGGGCTTGGCCTCTTCAATTTAACACCTGGTGGCACATCACATACCTGTAACTCATCATCTAATCTGCTTCAGTATAACTCTACTCATCGCTGGATGATTCAGACTCAGTCTACTGAAGTGCTAGTTATATTGAGCCGCTTTTAACGCTTGATAGAGTTTTTTCCTCGAGTTTTTTTACATGAATCCGAACATATTTGTTCTCCTTTTGTCCAGATTTTTCCCCAGTGTCTTCTCCTCCAGTCTGCTCCACCAACACAACACAACACAACACAGAACCAGATGAGAACTCAAAGTCTCCTCCGCTCTGCTTCAACCAGACAGCCACTCAGTCATCCACCAGTACCAAGCAACAAAACCTCATCGACCTTTCAGGTTTTCCGGCCGTGTCTACTTTTGGGTCAACATTAAACAAACCTTAACATTAAAGGAGGCATTGAAGAAAAAGACAAATGTGTTTTATTTCTTTAACATAAAAGTACATTAAGCAAAAAAAAGATTTAGCTGACGCAGTGTATCAGCAGGTTTAAACTAATATTAAATGCATTAAATATAAATAATATATATGAACAGGGGCGTCATAGTGGGGGGAAAGTGGGACTGACTACCCTTCATGGGCCTGAAATAAAAATCAATTTCTTATTCGCTTTTTTCTCTGAGTTATAAACACAATAAGATAATTAGAATTGTCTGAATAAATAAACAAACATTCAGAATTCCTTTCTGGAAAAAAATGTGAAGTCTCTCTAAAAGGCTGCATATTAAAGCAGTTGTTAGAGGAACATCGTTTGGATCATATCTGTGTTTTATGTATAAATATAGCTTATGAATCCCCATCATAGATACGATTTCATACGGCCTTATTTTATAAAAATATTACATCGCTGTCAAAAAGAGTCCACTTTGGAGCTATATTTAGCGTCTTTCCCAGCGAGCTACAGTAACATATTTGCCGCAACTTCTGCCCAAAAAACAACATTTTGAACGTCAGGTGAGACAAATTATAATGCAGTGTAAAAAGAATTAAAGTGTAGAAATTGTAGAAATTCTCTGGGTTTAGTTTGGGCCATGGTAGGGGCCCCATGTGAGATCTTTACATGGGGCCCGGAGTTCCTGGCGACGCCCCTGTATATGAATATATTTCATATTAACCATATTATAAGCATGTATTCTTCCTACCCCTGTGATCTTTTCCGTATCTCCTGTTACACTGCAGCCGTGTGATGAATTATGAAATGCACTCAAGCAGTCAGAGACAATGTCAATTTGGAGCTTCATGTTTAATGCAGGTCAGGTTGATAGCAGTGGAGGAAATGAAGCTCTTCATCTGTAGTAGAAACGTCAATGTTCAGATGCCTCCTAACCAATAACGTACGGTTCCTATAAGGAAAAAATAACAGAAAAATAAATCAAATTTTGTAGATGTAAGAAATATGTGAATTTAAATATCTTAACGCAGCACGGATAACAAAACGTCCTCGTTGTCTTTCTTTACCTTTTCGCTGTTGCCGGTCCCACACATGCAGCCGAAGAGGCCGTTGATGATCTGAGACGCACAGAGCAGCACTGCAGGCAGCTGGATGCCATCAGGGTGCCGAACAGTCCGATGTTGAACTGCACCACGTTTGTAGGCTCTGTGCATTCACCCCAAGACTCTGAGTCAGTCAGGTAGGTCCAGTTACTGTGCAGAGGATGAGACTCATGAATAACCAGAGCATCATTCAGTCAAATCATCACAGAGCCATTTGTGTTTGTCACCTGTGCTTGAAAGGTGTAGTCCAGGTCCCTGCATGTTTGCAGAGAGGCCCGTTACCCAAACCGAGCAACGCCACGATGAAACTGTACAGGGCGCCAGCTGCTCCTGCTGCAGCGAAGACGATGGATAAGAACATCTGCAGGAGGAAATGACCCACATTTTGATGCTTTAGCTGGTAATTCAATCATGTAGCTTTTTTTTGTCTCTTGCCTTTTGCACAACGCTGTAACTCATAAACGACCTGGTTTGGAAAAGAGAAAAGCAGAAATGTGCTGAGCTGTCAGCTGTGGTTCTGATGATTTGGCATTCATGATCATATCTTTCTCAAGAAGTGTTGCGAGAGGTCGATTCAGTGTCAGTAGAAATGTTTGTCATTAACTTCTGAGAGTTTCTCTGCTTCACTGCCATGGCACACTTGATGGTTAAATCTTATTCTGACATTCAGTGTTGACTGAGCTCCTGGAAAGTTTGCCTCTGACTGACTCACCCCGAAGCGGTTTCCACAGCAACCTTGCTCTCCGGTCCGGTTGATGTAAAGAGCTGGGATCAACACCTGCGTGGATTAGTGTGAAACATGTTCACCATGGTTCATAAACGTGGCTGAAACATACAGCGCTTATGAAACTTTGCAGAAGTCGTTTCACAAAGTAGGGGAAAATGATGACATTAAGTATTGTTGTAATTTATTTAATCACACATATTTAACATTAAGATCCAATACAGCCAACAGAGGTGTGTAAAATATGCACAAGCATGTTCACAGCAGCCTTAAATCCAGAGTCCACACCCTTCAGTCAAAGACAACTCACCATGAAACCCCCTCCGATGGCTCCCCCCATGTAATACACCTCCTTCGTAAGGTGTCCATGTTTGGCGTACTTGACGTCCCAACCTGGAAAAAACAACGCTGTGTTGCAGATGATGGATATGAGCACTAACGGGTACAGAGTCAAGGCAATGCAACGAGAGCATTTTCCAGTACACATGTTGGCAGAGAGAAATCTAACGATCTGCTGTACAACCTCTTGTTCATTTGGGTTTTGACTGAGATCCTTCCCGTTTTCAGAGAAAGAAGACTCCTTGAACTTAACCACACAGACATGTGAGCTGAATGACTTGCATATGTTTTTGTTTTTTTTTTGTACATTTTTAATTGTTCAAGTTGTTTGTTCTAAAATGGTGAAGAAATCAATACCATAAACCACATAAAACTCCAGACGTTAGGTGTATAAATAATGTGTGTTCAAATTCACACAATAACTATGCAACAATTTATTTAAGTAGTCTCCACAATTTAAGTATTAAAAGGCAGACTGTGTTTTAAAGAATCCCCTATTCTGGGTTGAATGGTTTCATCCTGGTGTGGGCTCAAAAGAGACTTTTGGGTGGTCAGTATTGCGGCCAACCTGATTAACCTTAAAGAATAGCTGGATGGGTGGATGGACTTTATTGAAGTAGTATTAAATAAAGTTGGAAACACACTATGTTCAAACAAAGCAATAAACCTGATGGGTCGAACGTGTTAACATTTATTTATTCCTTTATTTTATTTTTTATTTATATATTTTATTTAAGATTAGTAACACATGTAAGGCATACAGTATAGAAAACTAATAAAAGCACATGTGTGGCTATGGTAGAAACATGCAGGGAAAGGCCAAACAGTAAAGTCTACAAGTTAAATCAGTAATAGTTGTATTTACACATTAATGATTTTTCTGACTTTTGATAAAGATAAAGATTAAGATAAACTTTATTGATCCCCGTGGGGGAAATTTGTGCATTACAGCAGCTCCAGAAAACAGGGGGCGGGAATATACTTATAAAAAATAAAAATAGAAGTTAAAAAATAGTTTCCTATTCACTATAATGTAAAACCTACCAAAACAAACTGGAGAGGGGCTTTTTTTTCCTTCTAATTATTTAATGGTGCATCTTGTTGCCAGGCAACCTGTGTGATGTTATGATGATGTGTCCCGTTCCAAGCCCTCGCGGACACACACTAATCAACCTATGGCATTCACGCGCAAACACACCTGACGTCATTACGGTGTGGGGTTAAAGTGGAGATGGGATTGGGCCCCGCAGGTAGCTCTGCCCACTTTGACCCCTCACTCCCCCCTGTCAGTGACTATTATTATTGGGGAACCTTTGGACCCCTCCCCTTGTTTGTGAGGCTCACTCCGGGGCTGCAGTTCACTCACCATGGCCTCGTCTCCCCTCAGAGACTTTCTGGTTACATATTTAATGCCAGAAAAATGTTACGAGAGGATTGTAGTGAAGCTTCAGCTGGACGGTGAGGCTCCTTGTTGTGAAATGTGAAGCGTGGGAAAAACTATTTCCAGATGTTTGGGAGGAGGAGTCTGTTTGCTTTCGCCTCTCATACTAACGCAGGATTATTATTGTTAACTTAGTTTTTACGACCTAAAACCCTCTTATTTTGCTTTAAACTTTTCTTTGTGATAGTCGTTACAATGTTTTAAGAGTGAATGTTTCGCGTTGAACTTCGACTGTTTTCTGATTGTTTTTGTTCTGATTGTTTGTGTTCTGATTGTTTATGTCCAGGTCCTTGTTTAAAGTTTGTGCTGAACAGGATCGTGGCATTATGCATCATACTGGACACCTTTTTAGGTAAGACCCCTCCTCAGCCTGAACAAATCTGATGTCATCACGTTAGAAACAAACAAAACCAGAGGAGGTCAGATAAGAGAATATCTCCTCATTCACAGATGAGTTTATTCTCCCCACTCAGATTATTTTACAAATGTCTCTTTGGTATTTCATTTGTAACTGCTGATGGGATTTACATGTACAGCTTATTGATTATTGTAGGACATATTTATTTGAGTATGTTTTTGTGTGTAGGCTACAGTTTACTAACAGTTAGTTGTGTTGCTTGTTTGATTATTCTAGACATTTGCTGTATTAAGATTTTGATTTTTTTGGATAATAATTTGTTTTGCTGGTTTGTTTGTTCAGTGTATTTACTTTTTGCATAATGTGGAACACCTGAAGTTGCATAGGCCTTCTTAATTAGACAGGTAGTGGACCAGCATGCACCAGGGCGGGCCTGTGGTTAATAATCATAATAATAATTTTCTTTGTCTCTGTTCCTGTTCTTGAATATATGGTGCATTTATATATAATGACATATATGCATGCTGATTGAGTGACCAAGTATTGCTTGTTTACTTGAAATAGTTTTGAGCACTGTGATAAATTCAGACTTGCTCATACTGAGTTAAAAATGACATTGTGATTAAATGTGAGGAAGCACCTCTTCTGACCTCCTTGTCCTCGTATCCTGCAGCTCAGCTGCCTCAGCTGTTGAAGATAGTGTGGAGAGGAAGTGCAGAGGGCCTGAGTCTGACCGCCAGCCTGCTGCAACTTTATGCCTTCTCATGTCCTGTTGTGTACGCCATGACCAACAACTTCCCGTTATTGTGAGTATTTTAATATTGATGAGTAAATAAGGGTTTGTTGTGTCTGTTTGCTGCGTCACATTGACCTGTGGGTCATTATGTGGCATCATGTTTTGTTTCATAATAATCCTTGAGATGTTTCAGTAGTTTCTCCTCATACCATTTCCCATGAATTAACAATGAATCATTACATCACTTTTATAATGTCTATTTCAGCTTCCCGTGCACTCATCACAACTGCACTATGTCTCTCATGTTGGCCTGTACATTCTAGTTTAGGAAGTAATGTTTAATGTTAATAGAGAGCAAAGTCTACCCCATTCAAATTCCTTGTATGTGTAAAAATGCCAGGCCAATAAAGCTGATTTGAATTACGATTATAAAAACAGATATACATAGACGGTCCTTTTTTAAAACTTTTTTATTATAAAGTTTTAATTATCTTCAGATTTTAGTGAAAAAGGACTTGACAACCATCATGCTACAGGTGATAATTAATCTGAAAACAGGTCGTCTGACGCTCCAAGACAGGAGTTTGCAGTGACAGCTGTGATAAATATTTTTGCTGTGTAGGCTTCTGTTTTGGGGATGATTTAAAAAAAAAAAAAAAAAAAAAAAAAGGATTACATTTCTGGTCTCATACATAATGGTATCCGGCATTCAAAGAAATGTGCTATACTGGAACAACTGTACATACTGCTAACTTTCTAATATGTTTTAAATGATATGTCGTTACTGTAGACAATTACAATAAACAGTATTTTCGGGCTTATGGTGCCTTAGAGAGATAGGACAGTGGGTAGAGTCAGAAAGGGGAGAGAACGAGTCGGGAATGACCTGCAGGAGAGGAGCCACAGGTCGGATTCAAACCTAGGCTGCCCACTTTGAGGACTACATCCTCTGTACATGGGGCGCACAAACTAACCACTCAGCCACCGACGCCCTTATAAACAGTATTTTCATTTCAAAGAGTAGAGTTCGTTAGCCTTAAGATTTAGTTTTTGTACACCTTTGATCATCTAGTTTCAGAAAGCAGCCACATTGAAGACAGACTTTTGTCCGTTCTATTCTGCTCTCTCTTTTGCTTTTGTGAGGCTGAGGAAATGAGCACATGTTCTTACCAGGCTTTACCTCAGATGTCTCGTTCTTTACCAATGTGTGACTCAGCGGTAGAAGTGAGTCATTTTGCTGAAGCCACTTTGTTTAAACAAGCGACGACCAGTTAACTATGAAAGATGTAGCCTGTAAAGTTCAAAGACCATTATGTAAATATTCTCCAGATAATACATTTCTCCTGTTTATCAGCTGACAGTATAATAATAATACATTTTCTTTAAAGGCGCCTTTCAAAACTCTCTCTATGTGTCTGTTCTAACGGATTAGTGCCTCACATGTGCTTCTTTTCTGCTCCGCAGCGCCTGGGCTGAGAGGTTCATCGTGTTGGCTCAGACAGCAGCGCTCGTCTTCCTCATCCTGCATTACCGCGGCGAAACCCTCAAAGGTCAGCTCAGCGTTCTCCAAATTCACATTCCAAGTAGTGTTTCATCTTTCAAGGTGACGCTGAAGTTTTCGACATTTTTCTTATTGTAAACAAATTCCAAGAAAAAAAAAAACCCAAAACTATTTATGCACAAGTCGTCCATAAATACCCTGACCTCTCCCCCTCCGCTTCTCTCTCTGCGCAGAGCCCTTTCATTCCCTCTGAGGATTTAACCCTTCAACCACGGGCGAAATATAGATTTTCCTTTTTCTTAAAGGCGAATACAAAGATGAGAGTATTTTCTGTTGTCGATTAAATGAACATAACGTGTTGTAGGGATCGTTCACAGCAGCATGGCAGTGTCTACGGGGGATTCATTCACTGTTTGGTAACACTTTAAATGAAGGTCACAATATTCACCAACAACTAGTCGCTTATTAGCATGCTAACTAGTAGCAAACTGGCTGCTTATTAGTCATTATGAAGCACTTATCAATACTTTAGGCTTTACGATCGAAGAGTTTGCCCTCAGTAACTGCTTATTGATAATGAGTTACGAAGTTGTTGAACATGAATTATGATCTGACAATGCTTTGGTTAGTATGGCCTGTATAAATTAGAAGTAAGTATAAGCATATTAAGATCATAATTAATGCACAACAACTTCCTCACTGGCTATGAATAAGCAGTAGTTAGGAAGGTATTGGGGGCAAACTTTTGGTTAATGACCTGTTAGCTAGAGGCTAATGTCATGAATATGGTCATGAAAGAATAAGGTACTATTAGGTGCTTAATAATGACTAATAAACAGCTAGTATGCCAATAAGTAGCATGCTAATAAGCAGGTAGTTAATGGTGAATATTAATTTAAAGTGTTACCAATGTTGTTGTTTTTTCTGTGTATTTCTGTGTATTTGATGTTTCTCAGTTTTACTCTATAAAGAGCTCAGTAAATAAACTCCCAAAGAGTTTGTATATGTGGCAGCTGGATTGAGCCAATAGATTCAGATAATTGTTGCTTTTTGCTGACAGTTGATAGTTTTCCACTTGTGGGTAAAACCTTGATACTATAATTTCATCAAGCTGCTCTTGATCTTCTGTATATGAAATAACTGTAATTAAATTCATAAAGCTTTAGATACTGAAAGAGTTTAGGATTAAGTTTAATTACACAAAGCTTTTGTCCAAAGCACTCACGTAGAAACTGTGTAGTTTGTAAAAAAAAAAAAAAAAAAAGAAGAAAAGCGTTGCACAGAAGTGAACTTGTGTGAGATGTTTTTAAATCGGCTGTATCAAACAGAAAGGATAACTAACACCACATGCTCCTGTCTGTGGTCATGTCTTCTGTGAATAAACACAAAAATATGGTTTTTCCAAATATTATTGTAGGTGGGCAAATGATAAAAAAGGTCGATGAGTTTAAATACTTGGGTGTTACACTAGACCACAACCTTACTTTTAAAAGTCATATTAAAAAGATGTGCCATAAAGTTAAATATAACGTCGCCAACTTTAGACATATCAGGAACTCACTTACAGTCGAAGCGTCTAAAATGTATTTGAATACTATGATTTTTTGTTACTTTCATTACTGTATATCATGTTGGTCTCAAGCAAACAAGACTGTCTTAAAACCCATAAGGTCACTTCGTAAACAAGCCCTTAAAACTCTGGACAGGAAACCACAACAGTATCTTCACTGTGATATTCTTATATCAAATACAAAATTCTTTGCTTTGACAATTAAATTTTTTATACCGATGTCCGCTTAGTGTACAAAATAATCCATGACGCTGCTCCTCCACCATTGAAAAGCTTTGTGAAACTTCACTCTGAGCTGATCAGCAGATCTTCAAGGTCTGCCTCTAACGGAGATTGCAGTATTCCTAAACGTGGCTCCGCTTTCGCACAATCTGTTTTTCCGTTAAAGAATGGAATAGTCTTCCAACTAGTCTTAAACTTTGCACAAACTTCTGCACTTTCACCCGGGAAGTCAAAAAAATGGATTTTTAAGGAGCCAGTCTTGTCAGCATTAATGTGTAATTTCGACTTTAATGTTTCACTAAAAAACATCATGTAAAATACAGGCACTTGTACTAATCATAGGTAAAAAAAAAATGGTACCAAATGGGGCGCTGGTGGCGCAGCGGCTAGTGCGCACGCCCCATGTGTAGTATGGAGGCTGTAGTCCTCTAAGTGGGCGGCCACTCTCTCTCTCCCTGGTTTCCAACTCTATCTGCTGTCCTGTCTCTAAAAATAAAGGCACAAAAGGCCCAAACATAAATCTAAAAAAAAAAAAAAAAAATGGTACCAAATGAAGAGCCGTTTGGGAGCTGAAAGAGTCGACTCTGATTACTGAGCCAAAGGATCCAGATCACTAAAAAGAGCTGGAGATCCTATCACTAAACGGTGTAGAACATAGTAAAAAAGAGACGTATACCACTAACTAAAGACATCTGGAAACATGCTATGAAACGTGTGTGGTCCCATGTTATTCAGTCCTTAGCTGAATTATTAGCTAACCTCAGTGTTTCAGAGACTGTGAGTCACACACACACACACACACACACACACAAACACGCTGCAGTGAGAGTAATCTTTGAGTGCCACCTTATGGTGTTAACACTCAACTCATCACACTGAGTCACACTCTGCCATCATGCCAGAGTTTCATTAATAACAGCTGATCTCAATGCCAGCCCCTCATCAGATGATGTAATAAGAATAATGACTTTAGTGTCTTTAGTGCTTTGACATGTGCAGAAGCAAACATAACAACAACGCACAAGAACCCAAAAAAACCACGACAACAAAGCAACACATGGGTGACACACCCAACAACAACAAAACCTCAACAATAAAAGAACCCAAACAAAAACCCGACCGCCATCAGAACCCAAACACCATACTGTAACTCAGGCAACTCGGGTTGAGACCAAGAGGATCGAAGGTGTTAGAAGAGAAATGAGCGATCAAAAGAGAGACAATAAGAAATAAAGAAATCATAAATCCATCACAGGGGGGTATTAGCTATTCGTTGAAATAAACAGTGAAAACAGCTGAAGCCATGATGTCCAGCTGATTCACTTGTAAGCATCCAATTGGCTCATCACACTCATGTGGCCTCACTTAAGCTGCTTTAGAACTGCATTCTCTTTGACGCTCCCTCTGCAAGCTGCGTTTGCAACCCTCCTCCAGCTCAGCTCCTCCTTATACGCTGCGTCCGATTGAATCAATGTCATGATGTTGTCACTGATGCCTGCTCTGTTTGGGTATCTGCTGCATCTCTCCCTACCTCAGGCTTTCCTTGCATGCATGGGAAGGGCAGAAATGTGTGCTGTTCCTGCCTAATGCTTTCTTTTTTTTTGTTTTTGTTAAATAGTAGAAACATTTATTGAACTCGGCATCAGACAGATCTGAACTGGGACTGCTACTGCACAGTGCCAACAGAAAGAATCTAGGCTCACGTCGTGACCACATTTGCATAGATGTTAACCCTGATGCTAGTTCTCTGTGTAATGCTGCATCTGCTCTGCAAATTGCAAAGGAAGGAAGTTCCTGGCCACAAAGCTGACACATCCTGTGTGATATCTTGATGAGTTCTGTTACTTCTCTAGTTTAGTGTCAGAAAACTGTGTTTGCTAGTTATCAGAAAAGAAAAATGTGCTTCCTCTCTTGAAGGAGGTTCTCTTCTGACTCGCTTGCTTGCTTTAGGTAAAGAGTCTTTTTGAGGAAAATCTTCTTTTTAGTTTGTGTTTTGTTGCATACTCCTGGATGTGATTCCACTACAACCATTAAGCATTTTTGATATTTGATTGACCAACAAAGCTTTTATTTGTCTGTCTAAACTAAATATCGCTTGGGTTTTGCACTTTTGTGTGACAAGAGAAGTAGTTTGCAGATATCCAACTCTTGCAAACAGAGATAGTTTTGCAGAATAAACTATGATTTAGAAAAAATCCAAGCAACAGATTAACAATATAAAACTAACACTTATGTGAACCTAAGTAGGTGCCTAATGCTTTCCATGTAAGCACGTGGTAGGCCAGTGAGATCCCAGAACAGAGCCATACCGCAGAAATATAAACAATACAAATATAACAAATGAATAAAACTGCAAATAAAAGTGTTTTTCTTCAACAAAGTTGTCCTGACTGGACTGACTGATTTTGTGAGAGGCCAGTTTGCACAGTGTGAATATTCTGTTAATGAATTGTATTTGTGTCTTTTGTGGACTTTTTTTCTTACGCATCAAGTTTTTTTTAACGTGTTTTTCTTCTTTCTGCAGGCATACTGTTGCTCTTGTGCTACACCGGTGTGATGTTCCTCCTGGGCTCCTATACAGCTAAAGCTGTCGCCTCAGTGCTGCAGGACTCCAGACTGGCAGGTTTAATTGCAAGCAAGGTAGCAAGCTCTTCATTTATTGAATGTTTATTCTGTTAGGGACGAGTGTGAAGCATGTACACCGATGCCACACACTACAGCACTTGCAGTCTAAGCTGATTTGCACAGGCCTTTTAAAATACATAAAAGCCAACAACCAATACATGAGAGATAATAAAACAATAAAACAGACTGACCAACACAAGATGCAGTAAAACACTGTACGGGCAGCAACTGTTTAAAGAGTCATTTGTTCAGCTCAATATCAGATCTGTTCTCTGATTAATTATTACATGTGGCTTTGACTGTGGTTCATGCATGGCTCACATTTATCAGAAAGGAGTTGTTTATGTTGTTGGTGGTGATGTATATTCCCGTTGTCGTTGATGTGTAGATGATGGAGAAATTATCCGCTGACACTTGACTTGCTTTCAAAGAGGATTATTTTATTTAGCAAAGGAAAGTATCACTAGACACGTCTGCCTAGGAAGGTCATGAAGCCAATAATGATCCTTGTCGAACACACAGAAACTCTGGTACTAATGGACACACCTCACAGCAGGAGAACATATGGATATCTGTTTTTTCTCCGTACAACTGTGGGGGTTTCTGTCTTAGATGTTTGTATGTCATGAACTCAAAGGACAACACAGGTCACAGACACAAGCACTTGTCCAGACGTGGTCTCCACACCCTTAAGGAGTTAACCTATGTCCCAGGAATTTCAGATATTTTCGACACTTGAGTGGATTTCTTGTTTCCAGGGTTTCCAGGCTCGTACAAACTACTGTAACGGTCACACCGGCCAGCTGTCCACCCTCTCTGTGTTGCTATCATGGACAGGCTCTCTGGGAGTTCTCTATGTGTCTCTACAGGTATGCAATCAGGAATAACACGTGTAAACAAAAGTCATCTTTCACACACTTTAAAGCAGTCAGTGTTGTTACTAAGATTGCTTTCTGATTTGATTTTTCAGGACATTGAAAGCTGGTTTGAGGCTTTCTTACACGTTCTGTCAGCGTGCCTCAGCTGCGTCCTCCTGGCCCAGGTCCTCTGCTACAGGAGCAGCACGGCCACAACTCAAAAGAAGAGTGAGTAGAGGAGGAGGAGGAGGAGAAATGGACTCGTGCAAACCCTGTCGCTTTAAATATGATGGGTCATTCTGTGCCACATTCTGGCCTGACAGTTAATACAGCACAGAAGTAGCAGCAACATTTACAAGATGATTATGTAAAACTAAATCAAACAAGTCATATGAGAAGTCTTGTTGTCATGCAATTTGATACCTTATTTCTTACTTCTTTTAGTGTTTTAAGGGTGAGGGATGAACAGTCTTTTGTCTCCCTCTAGTGGTTAAAGGGAAGAATTACTGAACTGTCACTAACGGTTTGTTTTTGGGTGTGGTTGAAGTTGCCTGGTGGCTCTGTTACTATTTTTCCAGCCACCTCAAATTGTGGTTCACTAACTATTTGCAGAAGTCAAAACGTGAATGTTTTTAATCCCAACTCTAAACTGGCTGATCGTGTACATCAGTGGATAAGAAACAGTGAGGCTAAAACAAGAAGAGTTTCTCTTTTTTGTAATAAGTGAGAGCTATACCTAAATCACACACGTGGTGTTAAATATGGGAGGAAGTCCGGTCACTCACTCACACACACACACTCACACAAACTTCCATTGAGTCGTGTTTTTTTCACTTTCTAGTTCCTATGATGTGTTAAGGCAACATCACGCTGGTGAGGCATTCATGTGACAGGGACGTTTCTGTATGTATGGTGACTGGAGAAAACGCTCAGTAAACTCTGTAAAAGTCACTCCAGTTGAAATTGTGTTTTCTATTTTTTATGGTTTATTTGATAGTGACAGATACAATATACAAAGACGCACTGAAAACAACAATCCAATGCAAGTATCGTAGTGTTTATAGCGAGGGCTAATTTGCAACACTCGTCCCTACAAGAAAAAGGAGAAAGAGTAAACTGGGTAGAGCAAGATGCAGTGAGATATTTAGCTGTGACGTTAAGTAGCTACAAAAAACTAATCATGAGTTCGAGTGTGTTTCTGAACTAACCAGCACTGGGTTGCTCTCTTAAAAGTAGTAAAGTTCGCAGTAAGCTTCAGGTGATCAGGTAGCAAGTTCCAGGATGTTGCTCCTTTCATGCAGTACAGCTTCATGTTTTTCTGTTTGGCAACAGATAATATGTTATCCTATTTCTTTTCTATTCCTCAACAGTAAAATAGTTTCTCCATAGAAGTCGTCTGTTACAGTGTTACGGGTTTATTTAACGAGTCTCCAGGTTGTGTTTTGATGTTCATGGTGCATGTCGCAGCTCACTCGAGCAGCTCGAGGGGTTACGAGCTTTAGTCAATCATTTATCAGATATTTCTTGCTGCTCTTAGAGATTGAACACCAAGCAGCTTGACGTCACAAACACTACGCTTCAAACACTTTGCTGGCTCAAGTAAAAAGAAAACTAATGCAGTCGTGTTAAGCTTCATATATAACTTTTAAATACCTGAACATGTCGATGTTTACAGATGTTGTGTCCCCCCAGGAGCTGCTTTTTAGATGTAAGAACTTTATTTTCTTATTGCAAGCCGCTCGGTTCCTCCACCGATTTTTTTTTTTTTAATCTTCTGCATCAATGACACATTAAGCGAGTTTGTTTTGGCAGGTTCTTGTTATTTCCATCCAACTGAGCGTAATAAACGTGTAATTGCTCAATAATTATAAAAAAAAAAGTTTCTCTGAAGATTTTTACCGTGTTTCATGTTCATCATTTTTAACAGATTTTTTTTTTTTTACTTTAATAAACGTTGAACTGCATTTAAACAGGATGTGATTTTTTTTAAATCTGGACATTAATAAAGTGAAATGTTGCCACATCAACCGTATGTGAGTGTAGGCTTAAAGAGTTAACCCAGTTGTTGCATTAAGTCGCCTTCAGGACAGCCACAGGTGTAAAGTATGAACAAACACTCCCTGTGTGTACGAAGCGTCCTGTAACAAATAAACAGCCTCTGTTGCTGTTATGTTTGCATCTTCACTCAGCTAGCTTTCCGGACGATCCCGTCAGTTATCCTAAGTGTGTGTTTATGGATGTTGTGCACACGCTCCAGGCTAGGCCGGGACATGCTGTAACAAAAAACATGCTTTTTGTGCTACGCCTAGAAAAACCTGTAGGTTAATCATGTCAGAGACGGAGAGGCTAAGTGGCCTCGGTACGTTAGAACCAAAACGTTATGTGATTTTAAATGTGTCATTTTTTTATTTGTTAAGAGAACTCCCATGATTCCACAAAGTAAATGAATGACACAACCTTCTGTTTACTCGTAACAGCTTGAATACGTCATTACATTAGTTTTATTTGGCTATTTATGTTATATTTTAAATAAAAGAATGAATACATCAAAGTCAAAAAGTTTATTGGCTCTTTTGTGTCCATTGCACGGACATATTGGCTGAACCTGACAGTAACACATTCATGAAGCAAAAGCAGCTGGCTGTGTTGAACATTCATTTGTACGGCTCTCATCATTGAAAATCAACAATCTCATCATGTCACAATGAGCTGAGAACTTTTCAAACCGAAGTGTCAAAACCACATTTTTTTTTTTTTTGCGATATCTTCAGTACTTTCTAAACATTCCTGTTAAAAGTCAGTGACATTAAATATCCAGTAACATTTGAGATTTATCATAATAGAAATGCACCTGAAGTGTTAGTTAGTGTTGTAGCACTTGAAATCAGTCTTAGTCTTAAGACCGGGGTCGAGACCACTTTTTTGAAGGTCTTGGTCTCGACTCGGAATCAAAAGCATTTTCACTCGGTCTGGTCTCGGTCTCTGACTGGGCGGACTCCAGATTTGAAATCAAGAGCAGTAAAGACCACCACTGATGGGCTATTTTTCCATGACATCACTGTGATTAGAAAGAAAATGTCCTTTTCGAAAAGAACCAATTCATTTAGATTTTTATCCCCCGGTTTCTTCTGCAACCTTCCCCGTGTTACGGTCTAAGTGAGTGACACGCCTGCTGCACACAAAATTACGATTTTTTTCAGTGATATTTATGGTCTTTGTCTCATCTCGGCCTCGACCCCTAAATGGTTGGTCTTGGTCTCGGCTTGTGTGGTCTTGACTACAGCACTACTGATAGTGCTTATGAGATCATTTAATTCAGTATTTTTGAAACACTGTGTGGTGTCTGAAACATCCTGAACTGTTCAGCTTGCTGATTGTACACAACAAGACGGCACATGGCGGTTTTATTTGACAGGAACTGTTTCTAGTGAGACAATCAATTATTCAGACAACTCTTCATCGACCAATAATGTCTGGGGAAGCTAAACTGCTAAAGTCTTATTTTCTGATACTTGGATTTGTCTGACCCTGCAGGACTTAGACAAACTCCAACAAAACCACGTACATAATTTGAGATACAAATTGGGCGTCAGGGAGGGAAATGAAAGTTGCTTGGTAAAAATAAAAATGCCGATGACGATATCAGGAGACCAAACATCCACTTCATCATTAAAAAAAATAAACTCTGGTAACGTCCGTCTCCTGGGTCACATCATAGAAGATAAGAGCACAGATACGCTCTGAAAGCTGAGGTACATTATTGAATGTGTCATGCAAACATACTGTGTGATCTTTTTAAACAGGTAATAAATAATGTTGAATGAAACACTTGGCAGAGGAAGAAGAAAGCATCAAATCTGGCTCACAGCTTACATGTTCTCAGTGACATCACTCATCGGTTTCTGAAGAGAGAGAAGAGTGCTGCATTTATTTATTTTTAAATAAATAAAAATAACAAGGACATAAAATGAACTTCTGAAGGAGTTCTCATCAGCTCTGGATAGTGTCTTACGTTAAAGGAAGTCTTTGTGCAAGAGCTGCCTTTAACGCCTTTTCCTTTCAGTTTCTCGTGTAAGGTTTAAAGTTTGTAACGACTGGCTAACTGGTCGTTTAGAGATCAGCAGGTTCTTGACTTTCTCAACAATTGTGGTGAGGTCACAGTTGGGTGTAGAAAATCCCTCAACCCCTGTCATTACCTCCTGCCAGTGGAAGAGTGCGGCTAGTTTTTGACTTCTTGTTGCATGTCCAATCAAACAGCAGCATTTATTTTTGTCTTAGATCAATTTAAAAAGCAGTATATATATATATATATATATATATATATATACACTGCACTTGTTCGGACCATTGCCTGTGATTGCTTTGTATTAAACAGCTGTTACATCACAGCACAGAGGGGTTACACTGTTGTCCACTGTTGTCGCTGCAGGCACAATTCACTCCAATCAGTGGGCCACATTTGATGCTTTATTCAGAAGGTACTGCGTCTGGTGCAGATACAGCTTCATCTCTTGGAATGGCATGACGAAAGACTTTCAGAGGTATTAAAGAGCCATGTGCATCCCAGAGGACTCACTGTATGAGATCTGTCTAATGTTAAGTTCCTATTTGGTTATTCAATTTGTGCACGTGTGGCACCAAAACATGTCAAAGTGCATTTGTTGCACGTCAGACTTGGTCAGCGCTCCTGGCTGCAGTAACAACATTCTCTCCTTCTTCCTGACACATTTTAACTCGACTCAAGTGTTTTCATAATGGAGTGTGCGTCACCTCACCTTTGCTCTTCCTTCCATCCCATCAAGGAAGAGGAAGAGCCTCTCCTGGTTTTTTTAGTTTTTTTGCTTTCACCTCATAATAACAAACTCATTAAATGAGGAGTCATTTAGCCTATGCACTCAAGAGCTTAATGAGTTACCCATTTATCCAATTTCCTTGTTCCCTCGTGTTATCTGAAGTCCCGGTAAAGTTTGCGCAGTTCATCCCAGAAGAACAAAGACAGAATGGTGTGTGGACCAAGTCGGAAATAAGAGGCTCCCAGGCCTTTGTAGAGTCCCAACAAGCCCTCTTTGCTCAGAGTCTTAGAAAAGCAGTCGGCGAATCCTTTATAAAGTTCCCCCTAAGGGACGAGAAAATAAAAGGTCAGTCCATTTCCTAAGCAGGATTTGATGAGTGTTCTGATAACAGCTTTAATGTTTCAATCCTTGTTAAAGTACTGTAGTCTTTATCTCACAGTGAGAGGTTTAAAAGGAAGGAAAGGAGTTTTTTTTTTTCCTCCAACACATTTCTCTTCCTTGTCATAACCCCGGAGGCCTACATTACACACAATGCACTCAGACGGCTTGGACATCGATACTTTATTGTCCTTGTCGGGGAATCTTCCCAGGGCTCAGATGCTGCTCGCTCTCTCTCTCTCTCTCTCTCTCTCTCTCTCTCTCACTCTCTCTCTCTCTCTGCAGTAGTTCTAATAACTTTCTAGGGTGTTGTGTTAGCAGCCTCGAGCTGTTGGCCTACAACACAGAGGAGCAGAAACAAACTTTTTCCATCTCCTTAGTTTTGTTAAAGTGACGGTTGTTTTTATTGGTTAGTTATCGTAATAAATCTTCACAAGTGGAGGCAGCAATGTCGGCCTATGTGGTTAAGAATTTGCTGAACTATATGAAGTATGCACTGTCTGCTTCAAAGTCAATACACAAATGTATCGGTTTCCTGAGAGGTAATTTCCCTGTGCTTGTTTGAAAAAGATGGGCAGACCCGATCAGTTACAATAAAACTACCACTGGATAGAGATTTTTTTGGGGGGAAATAATAAGCAATATGTTAGTATCATAAATGGTAACTTTCAAAAACATCTCTCGTTCTCCTCACCTTTCCCAAATGATCCACGGGCTGGTTGTAGAGTCGAGTGCTCACTACATCAAAGGGTGTCATAGCCAGAACCACCACCACGCTGCTGATCATGCCCGCAGTCAGAGCTATCAACCAGCTGTCCTTTTTGAACACCTTAGCACGAAGAACACAACAAAGTGGTGAAACAACGACGACAACAACAACAAATCAAACATATAAGGTCGGGTCAAAGTAGGCCTGCAGCATATGAGGAAACCTGGGATGTACGATCACATGTTCAGCACTGTGATAAGGTTATAAAGTAGGATTGTTACAACACCAGGATTATAAACTTTAACGCTACACTAGTAAAAAAAAAAGAAAAAATTGAAGATATTGCAACAAAAGTCTTAGGCACCATGCACGGGGTTCATTTCTGATGTTTTATAACCAAAATTGCATGCACACTCATGTCAACATTCTCAACATTTGCACAAATACTGTGCAAATGTTTCACCTCCTTAGCGATCCGCCTGTTTGTAAGAGACAAATGCAACTTTTACAGACTTTACAAGACTCCAAAATGACTTGAAAAAACGTCAGTATTTGCCAAACTCTGAATTTGAATGACCCTGCTGCTCCCCCCCCCCCCCCCCTGTAGCACATGACAGCTTTGACTAATATTATGACTCAAGAGTAAGAGTATTCCAGTATTGATATGACAATGTTGAAAACGTTAAAATGAAGTGTGTGCACATTATCCATATGTCGGTTTCTTTCCCCTAAACCCAAACAAAAGAAGCTGTTTTTTTTTTATCATCACTGAATAATCGCTTTAAGTGACTGCATCATACTGGTGTGAAAGCATTAAAATATGACTTAACCCTCAATCCAATATGTACAATGTAAGCATGCTGCTCAAGGAGGCATGGCAATTCAGACTTTTGCCATGTGTTTATTGTAAATGCTCACAAAGTGCTAACAATCACATTTTATCGTGCAGCCTTGGTCATAGTATGAGATACAGTTAGGAAACCAAAGATGTAGCACCCCCCCCCCAGTGCAGTGCTATTAGAACAGCTCATCGTCATTAGCATACCACCATGTGTGCAGCTACTTGTAATTTTAACTGGTCATGATCTCCCACATGCTGCGAAACGGAAGAATGGTCTATAATTAGATCCTGAGCGACAGACGCATTCTGCAGCCGCTGCAGTCAAACCTGTTCTCCAAACGTCTGTTTTAACAACTTAAAATAATGTAAACTTTATGAAGCATGAGTTTTATCAGCACCCCTCACACCGCAACAAAATGATAAACAGGCACAAAGCAGCAGAGCACTTTTTTTTTTTTTTTTAAAGGTCTTTTACTTTTAAACAGTGTAGACTTCCAGTGTTTTGTAGACATTGTGGAGCAGCACAGCTTCACTGTCAACTTTAAGCACTTCATCAGCAGATTATGTCGTGGGATGGGGAGTGTTGCCTTTAGAGGTCAGGAGGAGGTCAGTTCAGATCCTCCTCCTTCACACTGACCAACCGCCCACCCACCAGCTCAAACATTTAGCAGAAAGTATGGGAAGTTAAGATAACTGTACAGCAGATTATCAGGACATGTCTGCACACTAATCGACCGAGAGTTGCAGTGTTCAGTCACTGATAAAGTTCTGGCTGCTTCAAAAAGCTTTTTTTTATCTAGAGCTGGGTCGGCAGCTAGTACTGGGTCACTAGTTGTGTAAGCTCCATGTTTTCAGCCAGAGGGGGCCAATGAAAGGTGTCGAATTTCTACTCCAGAAGAGTCCAATGCCTCACGCTTTGTCAGCGCCACAATGACTGCTTTTGTAATCTGTGTGCAGCTGCTGACTGCAAATTACCTCTTCACAAGCCCGCGTGCCTCGGCGGTGAAAAGCTGCAACCAACGATTATTTAAATGATCCTTAAAGCGGCTCACTCTGGTTTTCTTGATTCATGTATTAGATTGCAGTTTGGACCAATCAAGACTCTAATAAAGTCTGCAAAAGGTGGAAAATGACAATCTAATGTCGCAAAAAAAAGGCTTGAATTGGACGTCTTCCAAGTGTTTAAAACAGACCTCAACCCACAGATATTCAGTTTACTTTGTTGTAACACAAAAACAGCAGCAAAGAGTTTATTCCAGACTCCTAAAGCCGTCATGCTTATTCTTGAACAGTGCATTCATGTGGGAGGCGTGCACACATAGTGGACTGCTGAGGAAACAGGATTCCTTCAGTCGACCCTGATCCGTCTCATAGCTCCTGCGGGGTCCACATAGGACAAAAATATTCTAACCTGTAGGTCTATAACCAGCTCCTTGGCGGAGGAGAAGGTGGAGAGCTGTGCAGCTGATCCCACGCTGACCCTGGGCACTGCAGCACTGGAGCCCCTCCACAATCCCATAATGCCGTGCGCCCTGTAGATGGCTGCCAGAGCGTGGATCATCCCCTGAGAATAAAGGTTGCGGAAGAAAGTGAGAAAAGTGCGTGCATGGCCGGCCAAGTCACCTGTCACCTTGAGTTAAGTGGGTTACCTGGTGTTTGTACTGATGTCCCACTGCAATAGAGGAGGTGGCCTGACTCTGCAGATGAGTCTTGACCTGTCAGTGGAGACAACATGTTTACTTTTCTCCATGGTTACAGCTCACCTTGAAATGTCACAGCTGCTAATGTTGAGTTGAAGACAGGATGAAAGACAGGAGGTACTGACCAGATACACAGGGCTGCCCATTACGGCTCCCACCACTCCAGCCACAGCTCCTGCAAGCGTGGTTTTGACCGCGTTGACCCTTCCGTTTGTGTGGATGTAACCGGAGGACTCGATGATGGCGTACGAGCCGAGCCTGACTCCATTCATAAAAAACTGATAGACCAGCCCCGGTGCCAGTCCCTTCTGCAGCCCCGACAGTCCGTCCACTTTGCCGATGGTGTAGAAAGCGTGGAAGACATTGCGGTAGTAGACCTGGTACGAGCCCCGGCTCTTGAGCTCTCCTTGAAGCTGCATCCGCGTTTTGACGACCTCCAGCGGGTTGGTGAACAGACAGGCGCCGCACGCCGCCACGCCGCTCAGCACGAAATCCATCACGACAGATGTTCACCTAGTCCGACCTGCGCTTCATTTCACAGCGGGGTTCCCTCCCTCCCACATTTGCTTTACACACACACACACACACAAACACACACACAGAGAGAGAGAGAGAGAGAGAGAGAGAGAGAGAGAGAGAGAGAGAGTACCGCACGCCGCGAGGTACATCAGTGCGCAGACACGTGAGCCCTTCAGGAGCACCTCGGAAAACCCGACACACGAACCGATAGTTGAATGTTTGCCATGTGTTTGTTGAGTGCCAAATATCAAATACAATTTAATAAATATATGGCATTAAATATTCATAACCACAAGCTTTTAATGTATCAATCCCTACTTATATTTATTTCAGTTTATGGCGTTTAACGTGGTGTTATATTATTTTGTATTATGCGGTTGTGATTTTTTTTTACATGTTAAAAATCTTACAATATGAAATGTATATTTACAGACATGTCATATCCCCACTATAATCTTTATACAGACTTTTTTTTTTTTTAATTTCGCAAGAAATAGCCTAACCTAAGTTTTGCTTTTCATACAAGGAAAATATGCTTAAATTAATATTCTAATTTCATATGTGCATGTTCAATTAAAAAGAAAAACATAGAAAGCTATAATTCACAGTTTTCGGGTAATGGAGATTTTTCTTTTACGTCATAACTTTGCAGTGGTCCGTTTTCTATACACTTTATCCGTACCATAAACACCTCATCTTGGAGAATGGTACTGCAGCGTGTGGACGTACATTTGACGTCCGTGCTCTCAGCCAATCAAAAGGACTCTTCATGGTTTCGTTAGTGAGGATCCCGTACAGAGCTGAAGGGTGACAGGCTGAGCGATTTGCAGTCACACACAGAGGCAGCCATGTTGACTGCACATATCCAGCTCTACAGATGAATCTGTGCATCTTATTTCTCTTCCTCCACATGACCTCCGGCTCTAACTGGTCACAGTCCCAGCATCTCTCCAGTCACGCTGGTAGACTACAAAATGGCCTAATACAAGATTGTTTTGAATCACTAAAAAAGAATATTAATTGTTTGTGAACGAAACAAAATATTAAAATACATCTATAAAGTTTTTTGGGGAACGAGAGGAGGTAGTCCCACTCAACACAGAATATTATCCCACATAGGGAGGGATATTGCTTTTATGCAATTTTGTATTAAAAAAAAAAAAAAAAAACACCTTGTGCTGCAACCTGGACTCATTATCAGTGATGTGCCCCGGGGTCATGGGGTGTTTTGGGGTCTTATTATCAGACACCCTCACCCAGGCCACCCAGTCGGTGGTGATCAGGCCCCGAGGTACAGCATACACTGCCACGTGTCACCCTCAGTGGCGGAGCAAGTGTGGGGGCAGAAGGTGTGGCCGCCCCGGGCCCACTGTTGTCTCAAGGGGCCCACTGTTGTCTCAAGGGGCCCACTTTGAGCCAAATTTAACATGCATTTTGTTATTAAGTTGAATTTTCGAATAAAGTTAGTTTGACGAGGTCTGAGTCTCTCTTTTTTTTTTGCAGCAATCAAGACACACAATGTATTTTGTAGAGCAGAGAGGGGCCCCCCTCCACTGCCAAGGGGGTTCTCAACTTTGGCAGCAAACAGCACCAGCGGGGTGCTGTGGCCTGTTTGTAATGTCATTGATTCCACCTCTTAGCACCCCCTTTTGCTGGGCCCCCTGCTGCTGTCTGGAGCTTTAAACCCTAACCCTAACCCTAGCTCCACTAACATAAACGCTACTAACCAAGCAAATAAACATGTTTGGAGGAGCACCCAGCTAGCTGCAGGAAAGCAACAGTGCTGATGAAAACTTAATTGGTAAATTGTTTCATCATTATTTGAGATTACGCTTAGATGCTGTTCTTTTGTTTGGGTGGTGTGTTGTAGACCGCCCTGTGTCTGCTTGGTTATCGTACTGTATGACCGGCAGGCCATTGCTGTCACACTGTTTACAAAGTTTGTTGTCGTGCGTGGGTTGATAATGTGTGGTTTTATTGTATTGTCTGTGTGGCTGGATGAGCGTCCAACTTCACTGAATGTCAAACTGTAGTTGCCTTCTATCTTTGGTTTCCCGTCCGGCTAATGAAGTCTGCTTTACTTGTTTAATCGGTGGAATATGCGCACAGACATATCAGCACTTGTTCTGCTTAAACATCAGCAGGTCACTCACTGATAAGTCCCTGTCACTGTAATAACACCCTTTGTAATCTGCAGCGGCATTTCTCTTCGTCCCGCCCCGTCTTGTATCTCCATACAGCCGATATTATACCATAAATGCTATACTATATTACTATATAGGCTACAGCATATGCGATATAGCCTATAGACAGTTTAAGGGCCCACTATTGGTCCCCGCCCCCTCTGCAGTGACCCATAGGCTCCGCGCCTGGTAACCAGGTTTGCACACTTAGCCCTTTTCCTCTCCTGAGCCTCCTCCATCGGGGTCTTCCCACGGGACGGTCAGATCGATCAAGACCACTGGCCCCCCAGACATCAGGACCAACAGTTACACAAGAGGAAAAAAAAAAAAGAAAAGGAACAAGGCCGCTGTGGCTCAATGGCAGAGTCAGTCGTCTCTCAATAAGAAGGTCTGGAGTTCGATCCTGCAATCACATGTTGCATCACCACTTAACGTAGCACCAATCAGTGAGTGAATGTGGTGTGACTGTGACATGTGGTGTAAAAAACACTAGAAAAGCTCAGGCCTGTGCACATTGAACTGCAGGCATTGGATGAGTTTGTCATATAATCAGTAACATATTGTCTGTTGTGTGATTCTGAGGTATCAGACTAATAGGGATAAACACTCTGTGGTTTTAGTGTTAATTGACACATGGCAGTGATCTGTCAGCCCTCATGTGATGCCTCCTGTCCAATCAGATGACATGGTCAAATGGTTTTATATATTCTATGAAAGGCTCCTCTTGGTTTCCTCCTCCTCCTTCCCCTAATAAAATATAATTATGTAACAGATGGGTTACTGTCTCTACCTCATGTAAATTAACCCATCTGTAAAATAATTACATATTTTATGATCATGTTTATCTCTGCATGTTTGCACTAACCACCTCTGTGCTATTGTTTCATTTTAATCCTGTACATATTCTTTGCTTATTTTTTTCTATTGTTGATATTAATGTTAATCTTTCTTTGTACACAGAGCGCGGTGGGCTGAAGGCAATTTCCTTCTATGTGTAAGTGTACCTGGCCAATAAAGCTAATGATGATTCTGACTCTCTCCAGAGGAAAGGCTCTGTCATAAATAATTTCTGGTCACATGTAAGAATAATAATTTTTCAATCATTCATTTCCTCTTCAGGGTTGCTTTAGTGAAAGCTGCACTGCCTTATCAAAGTGTAAACAGAAGATCATCATCAATAACCAAACCTGGCCATGGTTGAGAATTAGATGCAACAGTTCCGCAATCGTAAAAAAAGGTAAGATGAGGAAGTTTTGTTGTGTTTTTTAACTTCCCTTTTAAATTTAGAGTATTAGTTTTTAATGAGGCCTACATGGGTTACATTTATGCTCTGATTTATTTAATGCCGCTCTTCCTTACCTAAACTCTCTCATCCAGGTCTACACTCCAACCCGCCCACTCTGCTCTGACAAAAGAACGGCGTCTGATCCAACCTTCACAACAAGGCCCCCAATCTATAGGCTCTTCTCCTCTTGTCAGCCAGAAGTGGACGATATTTAGGATGTTTTAGATGCTGATTAGAACCCACAAGAACAGATGTCGATGACCATATATTCACTTCACCTTTTTTCCAAATGAGCCGAGCCGTAACACACTTTCCTTAGCAGGCCTCCTTCTATTAATATTCTCTGTGAGTTCAGATAAATACTGGGTCACCAGGGCATCACCACGGCTCTTACTTAGAGATAATTGTTGTGGGAGAACAGTGACTTCCAGAGCTGTTTTTAACCACATCTCTGTTTAATCAGCTGATGAACAGTTACAGCCCAGCAGCCCGAGGATCACACACATTTTGAACACTCCGATGTGTGCGAAAATGTAATGGGATTTTAATTTAAAGCCCCAGTAATTAAACAGGAAACGCTTATCCACTTAACTTCATAGTAAAATGGTTCAAACAGCGACATGTCTTTTATTAAATCAGGCTGGTAACGCTTCATCTATTGTAGCTGGAGGAGTGACGTGTGCAAACTCAGACCATGTTTGATTATGATTTCCAAGTGGGTAAAAAAGTAGTGACAGTGCTTCTGATCTACAAACTAAACTGCCCATCTGAGGTGGTGGGTTTGTTCTTCGTCACTGAGCTGGATTAGACTTGAACGTAAACTCTATTCACCTCTACCCCCCTTTAAATAGGATTTATGCAGAGGGAATTGGGTTAACAGGCCCTGTTTCAATTGCTTCTTCTTTTCCATTGAGCCACCTATTTATCTAACTCTATGCTGTCTAACTTCGTTCAGTCAAACTGTTAACTGTCCTTCTTGAAATATTGCACAGCTCTGTTATGGATCTCGTGACGTTCCTGATTGAGGCACCATAGCAACCACAAGGTTTCAATCTGGACAGTGTTTTACCTTTCTCACACTGGAACAAATTAACACAATTGAAAGTATTTCACGACTCCTGCCTCAGTGCTCACAAACGATCGGGTTAATTAAAGGGGTGCAATGGATCATGAATCTCACGGTTTGGAACGGATCAATGATCTTTGACACGGTCGGATCTTCTTTTAAGAATATTTATAACTTGTCAGCGAGCCATGACCTGAACTGTGCATTTAAACAGCACCACAAATCTAAATGCATCACATCCTCAATTTGCTACTCTTCTAATAAAAAAAAACATACAAGCAGTAAGATAAAGTTGAACTTTCAGTGGGAGGGATTTAAAGGTTAAGGGTCAGCAGTCTGTAATATAACAAGCTTCATCATTTCAATAACAGTATTTGTTACCCCACAGCAGGGACAGCAACTTAACAAACACTAATAGAAATCTTTCTGTGAATAGAAAGTTTGCTGTGATCTAAATATATGATCCTTTTCCTGTATGTGCTTTTACAATGTTGAACATGTAACATACACACACCATCATTAAGTGGACGTGTGTGTATGTGTTTGTGTGTGTGTGTGTGTCTGTGCAATGGCTGCACTTGCAGCTGGTTGCTGTGTGAGTCAGACAAAACAAGAAAGGTTAAGGGTGTATTGTGTATTTAGGGCGTACCACCAGCTGATACCTGCATGATGGTAATAATAATAACTCTTTCCACAAGTGGAAGAGTACATACCTTGTATTATTCTATTATTGTATTTTTTTCTCCCTTTATTTAACTGATGTACATATGTTTGATTTTTAACTTCTTGTTTTTGATAATTATCTTCCTGTTTCCTGTTTCTTGAGCTGTTGTGACAAAAAAAAATTCCCCCTGGGGGATCAATAAAGTTTATCTTTATCTTTATGATAAAAGCAGACAGAGTGAGATGAGACAGAGAAAAGTGGAAGCAGTGTTTGCAACAAAGTAACCATATAATTGATATATCAACAAAATGCAACACATTTCTGTGGGAAAGTCTGTGAAAACGTGCATTAAAATACATATTAAAAGACTTAATTTACTTCCTATTTGTATAGCGGATGGAGCTGCGGGTTACATACAACCATATGCAACACACTTGCCGATTACCCTCCCACCCCTGCCATACATTTTATATTATAAACTTATGAGAATGTAGATATGATATTTTGTGGCCAACATTAAACATGTATTCAATGCAGTGCAAATTTAAATGATGCTCTTAAAGCTGACACAAGAAGTATTTGTGCAATACTGCAAGTGACTTCCTACAGTAACTATTAAAGTGTGACAGCTCAGCCCGAGCGCTAATTCTAATCATAATTAAATGACTTCATTGCAATAATAAAAGAGCAATTATTCCATCTCAAACACGTGTTCTGTTGTAATTTTTCTGATGTTTGAGCTTGCACCTGTCCTCTTTAGCTTCATGATCTCAATCCCTACGTTCTTCCCTCAGTCACCCTCTAAATCTGCTCACCTGAAATGTGCCCTGATACGTGTTTTAGCTTGTGCATGCGTAGGGAATCCAGATTCTCCTGAGCATGGAGAAAGAAAAGTATTCTCCCACACAGCGTAGTTCAAAGATTATGTTAAGACTCACACCAGTGTTATGCTCTTAAACACCCACTGAGACAATCCACTTTCGCTCTTCAGCCTCCTTCTTTGCTGGACTGTCACTCAATAGATTATGTGGTGATATGAAGTCAAAGTTTGGGCTTTGTATCTAACCTTCATTATTGCTGCTGATTAGATTCACAACTCAGTAAATTTGACATAAGCTGTCGAAAACTGAGACTTAGTGTCAAACGAAGAGAGACAAAGTTTGTAGTTTTTACTTGTGAAATGTGCTGTTCTTCAATTCAAACTTTTTCTTTTCTGTTAGAAAGCTGAGCAATGCTTTCAGAACTAGTGCACTGTTCCTCATCCGTAATCACACCTGCTGTTACACTAATAGCCTCTGCCCAGTTTGCTCCTTCCAATAACGTTAGGGTGTAATCCTCACCAGCTAATGAACAACCAAGTCGGATTTCAGGTGCAGGGTAAACCTCGACTTGATGCCCCAACCTTTCCAGCTCAGCAAGCTGCAGGGACGAGTAGGGAAACGGCAGAACAGCAAGCAAGTCTAAAATAAAGAACTGTTTTTTTTTTCCACAGACTGTCACAGCAAAGAGATGACTTATTTTTGTTCTGATTGACAGAAGAACAAGGAGCCAAGAAGGGAAGAAAACATTTATTGGATGCTACCCAATTGGATTTAATCTATTGTCTTGAAGTCCTCCGTTAAGTCACCGCTACAGCCGGAAAGAACAGTGAGTGCTGCTTTATCTATACTCATTAACGTGGCCGTAAAAAACTGTCTTTGTTAAATAAAACAACTGTGTATTGATGTGGCTATGACATTATTAAGAACATGTTTAATGTATTATGTTTTAAATTGCCTTAGTAACATCTGGTTTTTTTTCTAGTATGGCTTCTGTTCTTTTATTAAGAATGATATGAAATCAACCCTGACATTGTCTTAATTTGACCATAACCCCCTATTTTCTAGACTCCAACTGTATTACATTAGCTTCATTTCATAAGTGTGCACTGAAATCAACATGGACCAATAAATACTGTTATTTGTCATACAAAGGCTTGCTGAAGTATTCCTGCTGTTAGAACACTTAAAAAAAGTAGCCTATAGAAATGTAGGTTAATTAACAAGAAGGTCAATCATCTCTTAGATGGCTCTAAATCTCTGGTATCAACAGTCAGCGTTAATTGGATTTAGGTGAGCACCAACAGTATCACTACATGTACCAGGTCAAGACGCTGCAGCTTATTCACATGAAATAGACACCCTGGCAGACTTAATACTGCCAACCAGTGCAGCATTAAGCTTTACGTTTCCTGTCCCATTTGGTTGCACGGAGATGTACTTCTCTGAGCGTTGCATGTACCTGTTGCACCAACTGTGTAGATATAATGTGGCGATATGGAGTCATGTTTAATCACAGCAGTTCCATTTTAAACAATCTTAAAAAAGCTATAAACTAAGCTTCTCTCTTCAGGTGTCTTCTCTGAAATGCCAGACATGCAGAGAATTTTGCAAAATGGAAGGAGTCAGTCAAAATCTGGCCAAGGAATAAACTGTTAAATACATATCCAAGCAAGGGAATTCCACATTTACACAAATTAAAGCTGAATGCAGACATGTAAGAAATAAAGAAACCAGGCTGAGGAAGTGAAAAAGGCTTTGACCTGCACCAACGTGACTTGTTCTTCTTTCCAAGCTTAAAGCTCCCCAAATCCCCAGCATTGCACGAGTGTGTGCACATTTAAGTGCACGCATCCTTTTTTTTTTAGGTCCCTGCTTTAGCATCTGTACCATAAGGCTCTCTTCAGAGAACCTTTGGCTTTTGAACAGCAGGAGGCAGCATATCACAACATTACTCCGTATCCAAGTTCATTATTTTCTTCCTATCAGCAGGTCCTTTGAAAAAAGTCCTCAGGTTCTTAATGACTGAAGAATCTCCCTAAATAATCTTTAAAAACCAACTCATGATACCAAACACTAGAACAGAATAGACAGTGAGTGTGAAGGTAGTTCACATTGGTATGTTAAAGACCAGGGTAAGCTGATTAGTGGCCCTCTCGCTGTATCATGGAGAGGGAAGGAAGCAAGAAGTGGTAAATATTATTACAAACACATAGTGGCAATAATGTTGGGTCAAATGTTGGGTTCAGATTGTGAAGTGTCTATAATGTCCTTGCTGGTTTTGTGCGTCCAAAAACAAAGGTGCAGCCATGGACATCGGTGGTTTGGAGACAGTGGTGGCAAACTCTGCCTATGTTTCAGCCCGTGGGAGTGTGGATGGAGCTGCAGCAGCCTCCATGCGGGACAAGAAGATGCGTGCCAGGCTGAAACTCCCACACATTCGAGAGTGCGAGCACACTAAGACAACTGTAGACTCAGCCTTTGACAGCATGTGTGTAAGACAGCCCATCGGAAAGCGCCTCTTCCAACAGTTTCTGGATAGCGACGCAACCAATAAAAATGCTGGAGAGCTGTGGAGAGACATCGAAGATTACACTATATGCCAAGAGAAGGACAGAGTGCAGAAGGCCCAGAAAATTGTAAATAAATACTACGAGTCTGCTTCAAAGAATTTCTGCAGCTTCCTGGAGGAGAAGGCCATCAGTCGAGTAAAAGAAGACTACAAGAACGTCCGCGGAGACCTCTTCAAAGAGAGCGAGCAGCAGCTGCTCAAACATCTCGAGCAGAAAGCCTTAGATGGCTTTAAGAACAGCATGTACTTCCTGCGTTATGTTCAGTTCAAATGGCTGGAGAGCCAGCCTTTTGACGAGGAGTGGTTCATGGACTTCAGAGTCCTGGGTAAAGGAGGTTTTGGGGAAGTGTTTGCTTGTCAGGCTAAGGCAACAGGCAAAATGTACGCCAACAAGAAGCTGGAGAAAAAGAGGCTGAAGAAACGTAAAGGTTACCAGGTAAATACTGATATGTCATCTGTTGTCCCACCCAAAACCATTCATGTCAGAGTGACAAAAGAAAGGGAGCTTGTTCTACCAGCAATGATGAATTAAGAAAGAACTGTTGGGGCACCAGATAGCTTAACGGTTACAGTATGTCGTGCACCCCATTTATACCGCAACGGCCGTGAGTCTGAATTCGACCTTGGCCCTTTTGCTGAATCTTACCCACTCTTTCCTCCCAACATTTCCTGACTCTCTTCAGCTTTCCTGTCCAAAAAGGCAAGGCAAAAATGGCCCATAAATATAACCAAAAAAAAGTGAAAGGACTGCCTGTGAGGGGCCATGATCCAGTGAGAGCAGCGGGTTTGTTCAACGGCTCAATGTAAAGAAGCTTGTGTCTCTCTTAAAGACCTCACAAAGCAGCTCAGAGCCAGACAGAGAGAGACAGTGCGCTCGGCTGAAGCCCACAGCCTTTAAAAGCATTAGTGGATTATGAAGTTTTAAAAGTGTTGCCTGCCATTAGAGCAGCATGTCACTTTTGTTCGAAGCTTAAAGCCTGGTGAACTGGGTAGGACTGTACATAAAGAAGTGTAAATACTACACAATCAAAGCAGTTATCTACAACAGCCAGAGTGTCACCGTTTGTTGTTACATGAAGAATTATCACCGACACTATGTACTTTACAACCCTCAAAAAGTGGGTCAAGCTAGACCTCTTTTTATAGTTGTACCTATAAATTTGTTTGTATGCTGATATTATGATAAAATAGTCACTTAACTATACTCCCGTAATGTCAGTCACAAATTAAAGCTTACAATCTCAACAAATGACACCAGAGAAAGTTCATAGAACCAACAGGAGGGCACATCATTGTTGCTGCTTGACTAATGATTTTTTAAAATGTTAATTTGTGTTTAGGGAGCAATCGTGGAGAAGCGCATCCTTGCTAAAGTTCACAGTCGCTTCATCGTGTCCCTGGCTTACGCGTTCCAGACCAAGACTGACCTCTGTCTAGTAATGACCATCATGAATGGAGGAGACCTCAGGTGCTCAATATTTACATTAACACCAAATGCAGATTAACACTTAACACAAACTAGGGATGTAACATTCAAATCACGATACGATACGCATCACGGTATGGGGTTTACAATAAGACTTTATCATGATTTTGTACGATTTTCAAATTTTCTGAAGACATCACAGTGAAGTAACTTTAAGAAGCAATCTGTTGCTTTTAATTTAAAATATAGTAATGTACAGTTACTAATCGAATAATACATTTCTTCATTCTAAACCTCAAAATCTTCACGTGCTTCCACCATGTCTGTACAACTCTCTTCTTCAGCTGCTGATGTCAAATAAGAGAAGCTAAAGCAGTGCACTCTGCTGGTGAAAAAATGTATTGCAATATATGTTTTCGTCAAATTGATGTAACTGGATTGTATCAATTTCAATTACATCCCACACACACACATATAAGACACAATACACAATGGTTGTGACCAAACAAATGGTCTTCTGCTCCTCTCATTGCTACTAATCAGCCTTAGGTCGATAAACCTCCCGGCTAATGTACAATGAGGCCCAATAATACCCTCTCTGCATGCTTCACAGGTTTCATATGTATAACGTGGATGAAAAAAATCCTGGTTTTGACGAGAAGAGAGCATGTTTCTATACATCTCAGATCATCTGCGGACTGGAGCACCTACACCAGCACAGGATCGTCTACAGAGACCTGAAGCCAGAGAACGTACTGCTGGATGATGCAGGTGAGCGACTTTACTCTGCAGAGTTTACTTTGTTCCAACAGTCACCACAGCAATTGGAGACACTTCAAAATTTAACCAGCTAACTGGTTTAAACCGAGAAGATAGTTGACTGGAGCCATCATCACTCGACAGCATCTAAAAATAAATACATAAGTAGTAGAAAGAAATAAGATGGTGGAAGAATTTAGGTTATAAACTGAGACACCACAGGCCAGAGAGCATCTCCACCCACAAGGCCTCCATGACAGCGTCTTCCCAGCTGTAAGCCTCATAGCACAGGACATTAAGGTGGGAAGGAAAAATTACAACCCACACCTCACCTACTCAATGGACAGCTGACCACCTCAGAGTGCAATAACAATATGCAAAATGAACCCTAGTAAAAAAAAACAGTGCAATTATAAAGGAGACCTGTGCCATAATCTCAGGTGCAATAATAGATGTACAAAACAGTACAAGAAAACATATTTTTCTGCAATTGTAGTGTCTTCCTTTATAGTTTAAAAAAAGTGTTTTTGTTTATATTGCTCGTCTATTTTTATACCTTTATACTTTTTATAGAGCTGACTCTAGGAGAGATTTACATAATTCCAATGTGTCCGCACTGTCCCATCCCTGTGCAAATGGCAATAACCACCTAATCTAATCTCTTACTAAGCTTTTATATAGAACATTAGGTGTAATTACAAAAGATCAGCAAAATAGCCGTATTTAGAGTGCAGCTGAAAAAAGGTGACAATCTTTCTTAGGCGTACTTTAATTACAGAAAAGATTTATTTACAGAATTTACAAGTGATTAAAAAAAATAAAGGGAAATTCACTCAGACCGCCGAGCTTGGTAGTTGATATCTACACAAGTTGGCTGTGTATTTTATGGCACATGCCACTGTTGTAATCAAAGATTTTTTTCCACTCAGGACACGTCCGTCTGTCTGATTTGGGTCTGGCAGTTGAACTCCCGCCAGGAAAAGACAAAACAAGTGGATATGCTGGAACTCCAGGTACTGAAAAGAATAAAACATCTGAAAATTACTTGAAACTAAACTAGACGAGAGAACTTACCATCAAGTTCAACAGAAACAGTACCAGCATGTCAGCTCTGGTTTTAAGAGGTCTATTGTGTGTGTCTATTTAGGTTTCATGGCTCCAGAGTTGCTGCAGAAGAAGGAATATGACTACTCAGTGGACTACTTCACACTTGGAGTGACACTGTTCGAGATGATTGCAGCCAAAGGGCCTTTTAGAGTGCGAGGAGAGAAGGTACTAAGCATATGGGAAAAATAAATATCATGAAATCTCCTGTTTGCTCAAGTCAAGAGCAACTTCTTTGTTGCTGAATCATTCAGGCATAATGCTCCCTCTCTCTCGCTCTCTTCAGGTTGAGAATGAGGAAGTGGCTCGTAGGATCTTGAACGACCCAGCTCCATATACACCAGCCTTCAGCAAAGACTGCAAGGCTATCTGTGAAGGCCTGATGGATAAAGACCCGGCAAAACGCCTTGGGTTCAAGAACAATGACTGTGATGAGCTGAAGAATCAGCCCTTCTTCACTGAAATTAACTGGGGTCGTCTGGAAGCAGGTAGGCAGCCCAAGTAAAAGCTTTAAAATGCGAATGTTTAAAAGTCAAGACACTTCAATAAAAAACCTTTTGGTAGTTGTGGCTACAAAGTATTAGAATATGCTCTCATCGATTTTATCCCTTAATTACAACTAGAGAGAGGTTAAAGAGAAAAATGAAAGCCGTAAGAAACTCAAGATAACAGGAACTAAAAGGGAGGAAAATAGAAAATGAAATCATGAACCCTTTTTCAAAATGCCAAACTTCAATATTGTGTTCTTCTATTAAATTTAAAGGTATGCTCCCTCCACCGTTTGTCCCTGATCCCAAGATGGTCTACGCCAAAGATATTGACGACGTGGGCGCCTTCAGCACAATCAAAGGCGTGGTTCTGGATGACAAGGACACTGAATTCTTCGGTGAATTTTCTACCGGCAACGTCCCAATCCCCTGGCAGGAGGAGATGATCGAGACAGGTGTGTTTGGAGAGATGAATATCTGGGCAGAGAACGGCAAGCTGCCCAATGACCTTGACCCAAACTTTGTGGAATCCAAAGGTGGAGGATGTGTGCTCCTTTGAATAGCAGCAAATGGATAGAAGAAGGTCTATTGAGAATAAACACATTTAGATTTGGCGTGTGCTCATTTGCAGCCACTTACTTCTAATCTGTATAATCTGTTATTTGTACAATAATCTGCTATTATTGTAATGAATACTGTATGTGAACTTACATATTGATAAGAATACTAAACACTCATGTAATAGTGTAGGACAGTTGTTCTCAACTGGTCGAGCCTCAGGACCCACCAGCTACTCAAATCGCGACCCAAATATCTTAGATTTTCCAATCAATCAGATTTATTTCAAGTAAAATTGAACAAAGTGATGGAACAAAGAAAATAAATAAAACAAACTAGCGCTTCATAGACTTCTTGACAGCATTTGTCTTCCAGACACAAATTCGCTTTCCACTGAAAATAGCTCTGCGACCCACTTTTGGGTCCCGAACCACCAGTTGAGAACCACTGGTATAGGATATACCTATATTAGAGTGTGCACAATATGTAGTGTTACTGTTAAAGTGGCAGCTTGTTGAAAAGTTTACGTAGCTGATATATCATGCATGTAACTAACTGTAAATATGATTGTACTCATAATGACTGAAATCTAACTTTATATGCCAATTATTCTGTATAGCAATGACAGACTAATTCAGTCTATGTTATTTTGTAGAGCTCACGTGCGATGTATATGTTATATAAATTATTTGGACAGAAGAAAAGCTCCTCTCTGTAAATTGTATGCTAATTTCATTATATTTATTTATTTATTTAGTTCATTATTTGATACAAAAAGGTATCTAACTTATTACCAGGGCAAATATTGTATATAGAATAAATGAAAGCAATCAATAAAATCTTGCAAAGCAATAACATGTGTTGAGTTTCTAAACCTCTTTGTTAGTATAAAATCATGCTAATGCGGACGCCCTGTGCACAGCACGGTCGGTCCTTATATTTTTTGACAGGTGATGTCATCATCTTGACAGCAAAGGACGAGATTCACCGCACACAAGAAGGCTTTTGATTCAATTAAAATTCTCAATCAAACAACGCATTTCGCAAGCATGGCTTCATCGGGTTTCTGATACAAGACAACAGACAGGTGGACGCACTCCATCCAATCAGCAGCAGCAGAGTGCTTAGTTTCCATATAAGGTTGTGTTTCCATACCAGAAGTTCTTGTTCAGCTTTTATTAGTATATTTCTTTGACTGAAAGAACCTATACAAGCACTTCTGTATTAAAAGCTCTGATATGTATATATATATTTTTTACATTGACATTGAAGATATATCAAAGGAATTTTGGATTAAATAAATAAAATTGTCAAAAACTAAAATTCACAGAACTATAAAGAGATAATTTTTCAGGCTTGTTAAGAAGCAAACTCAAAAGTTACAGCAGATATCAAAGTAAATTTAAGCTTCTTCATTATGTAACTATGACCCCTTTGATCAACACCTTCAAATTGGGGCAATGTTTTAATTTGAAAGGTGAGCAAAGTTTCCACTGTGTCTATTTTTTTGTGTGTGTTGGACGCCGGCGCTGTTCCATCACATTTCTTTTTACATATAAGATAAACTACCTGTGATGATGCCAGTGAAAAGGACGGGGTATCACTGAACACTATATAGCCGGTCACAGACAGACATCCTGAAGGACATGGAGCTTTCCAGGATAAAACCAAAATCCCTGTTACTTGAAATTACACTATCGTGGCGGACAAATAATCAACAGAGGTAACATACGCACAGTGGCTCCTACAGATGCATTACACCGGTTAAGCAACTACGTAATAAATGAATACAAGCTGACCCTTTATTTATCCCACAAAGGAGAAATTTACATTGTTACAGCAGCAAAGAGCAAGGACAGACAAAAAAATGCGCACACAGGACATAAAAACAGTGCACATGTTATTGCACCATGTACAGTAAGTTACAATAATTATTCCACATATGTATTAGATGATAGTATAACATAATACGTATTGCAATTATGATAATATTGCACAAGTGGTTGGAGTGAATTGTTTCCAGCTTGAGTGTGTGTTTTGGTGATCCACTGAGCCATATTTTTATTTTCTACTTGATTATTTGAAATACTTAAAGTTCTATTTATGAACACAAATGGTTAGGTAATTTTAAATTGACTTCTACAGCTCACTATGTGCATCTGTCTCCACTGTGCTGTGAAATAAAACTCATCTCAAACAGCCACTGAATTTGGACCTGAACAAAAAAAGAAATTCTACTACTGGTGTTCAACCAGGCGGCTGTGGCTCAGTCGGTAGAGTCGAGGGTTCGATCCCCAGCTGAGCAACATGTCTGATGTGTCCTTGGGCAAGACACTTAACCCTGAATTGCTCCCGCTGCTTCAGTGGCGGTGTATGAATGGGATTAGTTACTTCTGATGATACTACATAGCGATCACTACCATCAGTGTGTGAAAAGGTGTTAATGGGTGTGTGTGACAGGTGGTGTAAAAGTGCTTTGAGTAGTCAGAAGACTAGAAAAGTGCTATATAAGCTCAAGTCCATTTACCATTCAACCCACCAACCTTGAGCATAAGGACAACTGTCAACTTGATTTAGTGATGCTGAATATCAGCACAAGGCGGCTGTTCTCTTCTTTGTCTGAACATTTCACTGTATGTCTGTGAAATGTAATAAAGCCTGTCAGTGATTAACCTGGTGGTTAGAAACAACCCATTAGCTTGTGTTGAAGCTGTTGGTTGAAAGTAAATGTTGGTGGATGGTATAACAATGAATATGTTACTGTTACTGAGTGAAGCCTTTAGTGATATTAAAATGTTTGTCTAATGGACCCAGTCATTTGCCTTCAATCTTAAGGAAAACGTGAATCAACAATATCAACTCATAACTCTTCCTAAACAGCTTTCCATCAGCATATTTCCCTGCTGGATTAAACTAAAGTTGACTTTAGCAAGAGTAATCTTTAAAAGCTCCTCATTCGCAGATGATAGCAGCTGAGACCCCACCTACCAACTTTCAGCCTGATTACTTTGTCTATGTAACGAGTGCAAAAGAGAAAGACCTTTCTTTCAGACCCTTAACCTCAACCTGAAGTGTAAATGGACCAACTACACGGATCCATACCTGCCTCTGCCAAAGATCCACAGCCCCACATGATGCTAACCTCAAACAGCGTTCACCTGACCAGAAGCTGAACAAATGAAAATGTTTCTCTCTTGTGGCTTTTGGGCACTTCAAGCAAAAACCAGGGGGGACAAACAGTTTCTCTGAAAAATCTTTGGTTTGTAATAATAATAATATTGCATCCCCTCTAAAAAAAAAAAGACATTGGACCCCCGAATTCCCAAACATGACCGAACTATTTCCACAAATCCTTAGTCAACCTGAGGAGTGGTAATCGACCATACTTCTGCTTCTCTGTTCATTCACTAAATCACTTATGATGGCTCAGCTCTGACTTTGCCACATGACATATTTTTCCACTACATGTACATTTTAAACATATGAACGTTTTCAACTTCTTACAAGCAAGTTTTGGTTTTGCCATATATCTTGACCATTGACATGGAGCATCGAAGGCACAAGAGATGATCAAAATCTGAATTTCTCAAACTGAATGTGCCAATACTAAAGAACACTTCGACTTCAGATGATCTCCAACACTTCATATTTATACTACTAAAATATCTGCTTAACTAATTATGTTATCTACATGTTAAGAGGTGGAACTTTTCCACAAGCCTTTATTAAGGCAAGTTAGAGCCTCATGGCCCCTTCTGAAAAATCAAGGTTAGCTTTGACCTAAAGGACAAAAGGGAAAATTGTTGAACACAGAATTATGGCTCTATGTATTTCTTTGCCATATTTGGTTGTAATTATGGTGTAATTCTCTACTAATAAATCATGTTTGTATTTATACAGTTGTTAATTATGTATTTCCAGTTTCTTATTTCAAAGTAAGATGCTAAACAAAGTATGGTTTCCACAGTGAGCGCCTGTGGTGACCTTTCATTCTTTAACATCAGGCATTTGAATTTATTTTCTGAGTCAGGACTTCTAGAAGAACCCCTATAAATTTAAGCAGACTACTCTCTTTTGGTAATTTATTTTTCCCTTGTTATGTTGCTTCTCTGAGCATTAGCTTAAAGGCACCTTAGACCTTTTGTTGATTCTGCTTCTTCCTGTAAAACTTTAATTATTTATCTTGACTATATAATTATTATCGAAGGTTGACTCAAGTCAGGGAAGTTCTCTGCAGCTTGCATTTAAAATCTGTTCCCAGTCAAATTAAACTCAACTGAGTTCAATGATCAGCAGAGAAACCAATAATTGTAAATCACAGATTTTTCAGTTTTGCTGTCTATATCTGTGTTTGAGAGAAAAAGACAAAGCGCTGAAATCTTAGTCATAAAATCAATCATACTGATTCATGGGACTATATTAAAGCAGTGACCTCATCGAAACTCAGTGAGATTACAGAGTACACAAATACTGACTGTTCAAATTTATACACCTGACACATTATTTAAACAGCTTTTACTGACAGCATGTTACTATACCCAGGCTTGAATCATATTCTAAATATAGTTTTGTGGATACCTGAACAAAGATTTTCTCCATTACATGATATGTTAAATTTTAAAACTCAACTTGGACAACCAAAGATATTTATTTATTTACCGACTAATATTATTTTATGGGTGAATAAGATTATATTCTCAACCAAAAGGTCTAAAAGAAAAAGGTCTCAAAAGGAACTTCTGTTTCATTTTAGGTGAACTTTCCCTTTAAGTAGGGAGGTCAATGCGGACAAAACAGAATAAATATTACAGCTTAGGGGGGAAGGGCAAGGAGATAAGATACATTTCTATGGTAATATGCCAGGCACGTGAAATGTCATTAATTTAAGGCGGACTATTAATGTAGCTACAGCCAATAAATCAATGTTCAAATTAGTCCAGGTTTGAGTGGACGAGAAAAAAAGTCCTGAGTCAGCTCTCACACTCCCATAATGTATATCAGATATATAGGGGTTGCGAACAGAGCTCCTCACAGAATATCTAGAATATCTATTTGTTTTGTTAGTTTCTATTAGACAACTACTTTCAAGATGCAAGAGCTCATCGAGGTTGTAGCACTTTTCCTAGGTTTTTCAAGCTGGATATTGATTTTAGTATCACTGCAAGATCAGTATTGGAAAGAATCTTCCACAGAAGGCAGCGTGATTACCACTTCCACTATCTATGAGAACCTCTGGATGTCTTGTGCAAGTGATTCAACAGGGATCTATAACTGTCGAGACTTTCCATCCCTTTTTGCTCTCCCTGGTAAGTTAAAGTACAATTTACTTACGGTATTGTAAGATTATCATAAGATCACACATTCAAACAGAGTTAAAATTGGACAGATACCGCTCATAACAGATTGCTTGGTTGATAACAACTATATTTTACAAGATGAGTTATCTATATATTTTTTTCACGAGGCTTAAACTTTATGTAATGGCTGACTATGCATTTTCTAATCTTCAAAGTCAAAGGTAGAAAGCCTATCAGTCTTTGGTTGATTAAGGTATGTACTGTTTTTCCAACTAAATTATTATTATTATTCTTAAACTACATATTTATACAGAAACACAAAGCACCAAAGACAAAAATCAAGAAATCAGAAAAATACATCTGAACAAAAATGAAGATTATTATTCTTTGGCTGGTTAAGGCATTCACTTTTCCAAGAAACAAAGTTTCTACAAACAATGCATATAAACCACACATTCCTAATGCAATTCATAAAGCAATGCCTGTACCAATTCTTCAAATTTATTTTTTACTTTTATTCACCA